AGCACTGCCTTAAACTGAATCTGACTGTCTTGTGGGATTTCCCGTCTAGGCAACCAGAAGTTACAGGAAGTCACTGCAACAATCAAGAAAAAAGTGAAGCAGATTCAGCCACGTTTCCGAAACCAGATCATCTTTGTTATTGTTGTTGTTGGTTTTTGTACAGAGTACATTTTTGCTACCTTTAGGAGTGAGCAAGGTCCCTTATTTTCCCAGTAATTGTGCTAAGCTTTGCTAACTGAAAACTGGAACTGTTACTGAACATATAGGTTTTGGAAAGGTACCGGTGTATCAAACTCTTTAAAAGAAGGCAAATATGAAAAATTATTAAACTGCTTTCTAATCTTTATTTCCTAACAGAGAGCCAGTTGACCAAAGAGTCTGAGCGGCCTTCACATGTATCTCTCCCCACAATATCAGGTAACATTATAAAGCTTTGTAAAACATAATACATAGTTAGAATATGTGACAAGTGGTGTGTAATTTACACTTTATCTTTTCATCTTCCCTTTATCCTCCAGAAGGAGAGTGGACCACGCTGCTGGAACTCTCTCCTCTCTTCCACCTGTTGAAGCAGGTGGACCAGCAGTTGAAGAGCTGGGCTTGTGGGACAAAGCTTCTCAGAGGAGAGCTTGCTGGTAGGTCCAATACAGTTTGGGATGCCCGCTCTTGAAATTTAACCCACAATAGCAACTGTTTTCAGAAATTCAAACAACATCTAGGCCTTTACACACTCTGGATCTGGAAGGCAGCATAATCATCAGGTGTCACAAACAATCAAGCATGTTGCAATCTCACCTAGAGATCAAATTAAACAAGAATTTGAATTTAGGTTTGATTTTTCGACTGCTTCTTTTTTTTTTTCTAACTTAGATTATGTGATATACTTGTAAGGGCAGAAAAAAAACCCTAATTTAATTATTTGGTATTTTTGAATTGCCTACTTATTTATGCCCATTTTAAGATTGAAGAGATTAATAAAAACTTATGTGTTTAGGCATCTTTTAGTTTGCTGACTTCAGTCATTTATTAAAATATGTTATTAGATCTTTTTTTTACTGAGGCTTTCAAATGCTCCCATTTCCTCAATGAACTGGTTCATGAAACCTTTGTCAATCTTGAATTCTATGTTTTGTGCAGACAGAGGCCAGAGTTTTGTTGACGTCCTTGAAGCTCAGTGGGAATGTGAAGGAGAGCTGGTCCCTCTGGATTTGTCACTGCTTAACCCAAGAGAGTATCTCGTCTACCAACACGGACTATTCCTGATCCACACATTGAATGATTTAAACTTGGTTGGTGCCAAAATTTATTTCTAAACTTGAACCCTGCTGCTTGTGTTTTTTTATTTTTTTTTAAATAAATTGCTTGCTGTTTTGAGGCTTTGAGTGACGTGGCCCCAGGCTATGATTCATATTTAAATTTTTTGTGAGCCTCTGTGCAGCCTGACATACTGGATATCTTCTAACCATCCCTGTATCTCTAAAAGACCAAACACTTGGCTGCAATGTAAGAGGCCCGGGGCTTTAGACTGACCTTTATATAATATGAATTCTTATTTGTTTTTTAATTCATACTTATTTGTTCTTATTTTGAACTTGTGCTGACCTGCAGTAGGTCTTTGTAATAAAAACAAGCTTAGATTGTTTTTCTCTTTTCCAACAGACTTCACCCATTTCTCTCCAGATAGCAGCCAGTCTCCCAAACAACAACTACATCAACAACGCCTTCAGAAATTCCTTCTTTTATCAGGTAAACTTAGAGTCATGTTTGGTGTAAGTGTAAATTGACTCTTAATTTATATTTTTCAACACACGTACAGTTGCACAGTATTTGGTGTTGGTATCAAATGTATTGCTATTAGACTGGTATTACTACAGAGTCACTTACCATTAAAGCAAAAATGGTCCACTTACATCAAGACTAACTCAAGTGACAACACAGCCTATTGAGTAGAACCTCAAAGTATGCTAGAGACAGATGAACCTCCCTCCCCCCGGCAATACTTGAGTCGCTTGGCTGCAGCTCAAATGATTCACTGACGCTTGTTGACAGGTTGAGCTGAAGATAGTGAAAATGAAACCTAACCGGCTTCACAGCAGACTGAGTTTTATAACTGTACTTTTTAATCCATTTTGTTGTGTCTTTGAGTTCATTGTTATATGAATCACAAGGGACACTTATAGGAATGTGATACATTTTTACATCTATGGAAAAACAAGGAGAAGGTGAAAATGAACAAGTAAAATTTACCAAAACAAAAGTCTTTATTTCAGAGAAGTACTATTATATTGTCAATGTCCACTTCCTTTTCTTATCAACGTCAATGTAAAAATACCGGCACTTCAAATTGGCATGTCCTCTTTTTTTTTTAATGGCTACTGAAAGAGTGAAAATGAAAGAAAGAAAGGGGAGGAGATATAAAATAAAATAAAAAAGTCTCAGTAAAGTACAGTTTAGTTTGTAAATAATAAGAGGTATTTAGGCATAAAATAAAATAAATCACAGTGACATATTGTTGAGGTTGTGATTTGCATGTAATTGGTACAAAAGAAAGTCTTGATTGACAATTTTTGTGCAAAAACTGAAAAGTAAAAGATGAGGGAATAGTAAACAGTGAAGCAGAAAGGAGAGAAGAGTCGACCATCAAGCAGCATTCAGAAAACAACCTTCACTCCAACCAAACTTTCTGATCATTGACTGTTCAGGCCACAGCACAGCAGCAGCTTGCTGTATACATCTACTATTAACATCTTTCCAAAGCCCTCGTTAATGCCGATGGTGCGGTTCAGTGATCAGTCTCAGCAGAAAAGCTTTAGATAACATCTTGTTCAGTTGAAGCAAAAGGCTCGTCCGTGTCTGCTCATCTGCCCTGTGCTCACAGAGGAACGGAGTCAGTCCAAAAGACCCCTCAAATCAGTAAAACACATCGACTACAATCTAAAGGTTTCCTGGAGGTTAGATAGTTCTTTTTTGTTGGATGGATTTAGCTGTTTTAGATTCCCTTAAAGCTGAAGGAGGTTATAAGCAACAGATTTTAGGCAAAGCAAAAAAGTACATGTCCTTTTAACATCTAGGACTACAGTTAATATTCCAGGTGATACAAAATAAAAATGTAGAAACCTAAGAATCCAATAAAGGCCAAGCTTTATTTTCATCAGTATAATATGCTTGCCTATGTGTTTCTCCAGCTGTAATGTGTCGCTGAGAATAACTCTGAAATGCGTGTGAATGATCGCTCTGTTGACAGGAGGCCGAGGAGACGCTCTTTGTCCGCCGACAGAGGCTCCAGTCAGTTGGTGGCTTCTCTCTGCTGCTGCTCCACTGTCTGTGCCACATCAAAGTCATAGACATGACCTCTGACTCCAGTCCTCACTTTCAGAGACTTTTCTTTAAGGTAAAGTGAAAGTTTGCAAGTATCATACAATGTTCAGTGGTCGTGAACGTAGCTTTCATTTCAGATTTGGATTAAATAAAAAACAAACTTTGAAATTCCAGAAGTATTGTGCCATTGGTTGGGTGTCTTTTACCATCAAGCCATTAATTTAAATGTTGTGGATTTGTTACATTTAACCACAGATGCTGCAGGCTTGTCTTGGGGAGCTGTTCCAAGCCAGACTGGGTGTGCCTCCCTCTGGTCAGGATGACTATTTAAATGTGTTGTTTCAGCAACAAGGAGCCTTGTCAGGATACTTTAAGAACCCTCTCTCTGACTCTCAAGCTGCTGCACTGCTTCACAGGCTTCACAAACCGAGCAGAGGAGAACTATATGAACATGTAAGGACACAATATCTTCCCTTACTATGATCATTTGTTCAAGATTGGTTAACTCGAGTCTACTGCCATTATTTTTGTTTTTGTCTTACTGCAAGATTTGACAGTGTACAAGTTGTGGGAGTAACCAGAAGTACCTTGTGTGTGTCTTTTTGTTGATTTTCTCTTTGTCTTGCTGGGAGCAGGAAGTCGAAGAGCTACAAAAGAAGCATCAAGAAACATCTCTTTTCTCACAACTTGAAAAACATTTGAGAGAGAAAACCTCTGAAACAATGGAGAAGTGCAAACTGGGTAAACAAATATAGAGACGTTCATACCTCTACATTAGTGTGCATGTTGAAATGAAAGATTTTTAATACATTTGAGAAATCAAATGTCAATTTACTATATTGCTGCCCTTTGTGACACCCCCCCCCCCCCCACAAAAAAAACCTTGTATATTTTAAATAAAGTCACTTGTTAGTTCTGAGAAATTTTGAATTTCAGATATATACTATATTACAGCCTGATTTCATAATTTTTAGATCATTGTATGACTTACCTCAGTTCAGTCTCATCATCACGATTGTTTTGTCAAATGATTTGTGAAATGTTTTGTCACAAGGCCAAACTTAAAAAATACATTAAGTTTGACTTAATGTCGGTATTGTGTCGCATCATGACTTGATACCGTATGTTACGTGCCGTAGTTTTGTTTTCTCTCTCTCCTGTGTGTGCTCCCCAGGTGTTGCTCCTCAGCCTCAGAGTGCCCAGCATCACCTGTGGCTAATTACTAATCAGGGGCAAACTATAAAGAGCAGGAGAGGAGGCTGCCAGTTGCCAGTGGGTTGTTGGACTGCGTGTGTCTTTGACGGGAACTTTAGTGTGATTCTTCTGTGGAAGCTTTGTGTTCTGATTAAATCCTTATTGTTCATATCTTGAGTGTTAGTCTTGAATTGGCTTCTCTTTTGTTTTGTGTTGTTTAGAAGAAGCTTGTTTTGTGTTGCACATTTTGATTTAGTTTATTAATAAATCATTTTAAACTTTGCTTATATTTAGTTCCTTTTTCTTTTCCCTGGGTTTTAATTTATTGTTACTCCCCTCATCCCCTAGCCATCTTGGGGAACGTAACACCGTAGTTAACATATTTTTTCACGATATCTTTGAGCATGATATTTTACATTTATTTAATTCTTGTCGTCAGTGATCACAAAAAACAACCGTGTTTTATTTGTTAATAACAACAACACACATTTCCTTTGTGTAACAAATATATTTTACTCTGACGGATCATACATGTTTTTGGAATTATTTCAGTACAATCATCACATTGCAGTAACATGACTCAGTCTTATTGGCATTTGGCATTGGCAAGTACACATGTGTACAACATGTATGCAAACAGACAGACATATGTTTCTATTTAGTCAGCATATGTTTGGAGGAGGGGAAAGCTCATCATTAAAAGCCTTTGCTGGGATTCAACACGTCATGGACCTTCAGTGCTGTTCAGGATTGTTGAGTTTGTAAACGATGAAAATGATGATGAAGATGATTCCAATGACAAGTGACAGGATATTTAGCACCTTGGCTTTTCTTGATGCTTCCATGGCTTCTGATGATTGTCCAAGACTATTAGCAGTGTTTGCCTACAAAAAGCAAAAATTCGAACAAGTTTCAGATAACTTGAAATCTGCTTTCTTGATAATAAAAGAGAGGAATTTACTAAATGTGCAGTATTGGAAAGCACACAAAAAAATATGACGGCATTTCAAAAGCAGGGATCAGCTGAAAGGAGGAAAACCAAATGTGATACTTGTTTAAAGTTACCTTGCTGGAGTAGACAATGGCAGCGATCCCCAGAGGCCAACAACAGCAAAAAGTGTTAAATATTGACCATGCCATGTAGGATGGAGCCTCAGGTGCCTGGCCTCTTTCCATGCTGGCTCTCTGTCTCAGCTGATGTGGTAAGAGTTATTCTTTTTGGGCCAAAGTCTGGATCCAATGGGTGCTGGGACTGAAAACCCCAACCCTTTTATTCTTCATGGGTGTGGTCTAAGAAGGGCGTATAACACTTAGACAAGACTTAAATAAAAAAAAACAAAAAAAACCTTTATCTACACAGAAGGAAATCAGGGCTGTTTTGACATCTTTTATAACCTTAACTTTATTAGCTAATGTAAAATGAAAATGGAGGGAATCATGTCAAATAGCTGATAAAATCGTCCCCTTTCTAAGACAAAGCTTATAATTTTTTTTTTTTTTTTTTAGTATTTTCACGTCTGGGAAACTTTGCATCTGCCTGTTTCTTTTGCTGATGGTAACATACCTGAACATGACTCTGCACACGGTGTTCAACAACATGCTTGTTTAATTTTGATTTCTTTTGCAACACTGTATATTTGTGAAGTATTGAGGTGGGCTGGAAATCAATGCCAGTTATTCTAACAACTGGGTTAGTGACCCAGTTAAGGTGAAGATTTGCTTGTTGCCAGTTTCACATACACAAACCAAAAACAGCTACACCTACACAAACCAAAATGGTTAGTGTTCCAGTGGTTGACCGATATACTAAGTTTCATGTCGTGTTTCTCATCCTGTTAGGTTTCTCAGAGGAAACGTAACAGGATGTTAACCATGAGAAACACGACATGAAACTTAGTATATCGGTTAGTTTTTAAATTGGACATGTTTAGTTACGTCAGACTTTTGCCCTTGTAAAGCAAGTCAGTTTGAATTTCAGAGAAGTACTATTATATTGTCAATGTCCACTTCCTTTTCTTATCAACGTCAATGTAAAAATACCGGCACTTCAAATTGGCATCAGTAGTTCTCGAAAAACAACTGTCTAAAATGCAGAAGTTCAGAAGTTGGCTGTTTTTTTTTTTATTGTGTATAACATTTGTTTATCAAGCCACATAACAAAAACTGCTGAAAGATGTCTATCAAATGGATGTTTTTTTTCTCTCTACTGGCTCTATATGTTTGCTTTGATAACCTTACTAGAATATATTTTTTAAGCCCATGATGCTTTTTGAAGTGAGGTTCATGCTCTTAGATAACCCCAAATGAGAAAGTGGAGTTATGAGAAGTAGTCAATGGCCTTTCGGCAGATAATAGGAAAATAATTTCCTCAAAGAGAGCACTGTTCTTTTTGTATCTGTCAGCCTCAGAGACACGACACTGTGGCATCCAACACTCCAACATCCACAGCAGTTGGAGTCTGGCCATAGAAAAGCCCCAGTCTGTACAGTAAGCCATCACAACGATAACTCCATACTCACTGTATGGCTTCAAACCAAACAAACTGTGGAGTACTAGCGTTTAGTCTTTAGAACTCAAGGATGTACAATGAAGCGCCGCTAATTATCCTTGCAAACACATTGCACAAGTAGCAGCTGCACATTCAATTATTTACATCATCTTAATTTTGAAAGCGAATTGTAAGTTAGCTCAACAGATTACTTTTTGAATGTATGTCTGAATGGATGTTAATCAGACATTTTATTGTTAAGTTCTGTCTCAGGGTCTGTCTCTGATCTCTTGACCTTTTGAGACCCTGGTCCTAGAAAGCTCTCCAGTTTCCTATTTTGAGACTTTAAAAGCCTCACAGGGGAATGTGTAAGATGTTTTGTAGGCAGGGTAGTTAAAAAAGAAAAAAATATATTATTGATACAAATCATTGATGTAATACTAAAACGTAATACTTCAACAAGTTGAGATTAAAATTATGGGGCTAGAGATGTGTCTGTGGAATGTTTTTATCCTCATTTGCTTTGTGCTAAAGAAGATAAAGAGTCCTTTTGTCTGTGGTTGCATTTGAATGGGATCGAGCAGTCAACAGAGACGCCAGAGGGATAAAGGCAATGCTCTCTTTCTTTTCTCAGAACTAATGATAAAGTCCAGATATAGCAAGTGAGGATATCCAATGTTAATGTCCTGATGTGTGGTGTGTGTCTCCATGATCCAATGCCTGCTATCTTCTTCCAGCTGAACACAACTTTAATTGAAGATATTCCCCATAAATAATACTTATTTTTACTCAGTCAATCATGTTATATGTGCTAAAACAAACAAAAAAACAGCTATTGAGTTTATGATTTGAAAGACTGACGTTGAAAGACTAAAGTGTTGTCTTCAATTGTTGCATGTATTGAACAAAACTTTAGGCTTTTAAAGGATTGGTAAAGATTTAAAAAAATACTCCTATGTAATATTATAAAACTTGGTGTATTACTTAATTATACTTGAGATAACTCATGCATGTTTTTATGGCATTGGTCCTAAATATTGTCTTGCAACAACATGTTTTTGACATCATGTTACCACTTCCCACAAGCCCACTTAACCCATTGGCAGCTTTTACTAAAAGGCTGGCTTGCAACTATTTTTTAGTTCAATAAAAGATCTGCGAGTGAGCTATGAAAACAGAATACTCTGCAGACATGTGCAACTCTCTGCATACAATATAATTCACTACTGCATGCATGACTGACTTTATAAGAATTGCGTGTGGCTGACAATCAATCAATGCTCCTCACTTTCCATTTTGTGGAATAAATAACTGCAATGTCTAGATGCCTGCCATAAACAATCTTTATCCATCTTCATGTTCTCGTAATAATAATTAAAATCTGAAATACTGTAATGCCAACTGAAATGCCTTGCAGCAAGCCTCTGCTCATCTCCTTCCTCGCTTGGAAGTCTAACTTTATTTAATTCTTTGTAACTGTAGGTATGTGTGGACAGTTTTTTTATGAAAATGGTTATTCACTTACTGTGCCCTAAAGTCATGGCAACATTACATTTATCTTTTAATGAGAATCAGCTGAGGTTTTTGCATAGCTGAGTGTGACTAAAACCACCAGGAGGCAGTGTTGATCTTTTGCCGACCATAAGGAGGGCAGGAATTCAGGATGGAAGATGCTCGAAAATCAGGTTGATGAAAAAGTTGAGGAGCAATCACACGACCACTGTATTGAATCCACAACACACACATAATTTATGCATAAAGAAAATGGGTTCCCCAAGCATGTAATTGCACAAGTTAAATTATAAATCAAATAGTAATGGCAAATCCTAAATTATTTAGTTGGATTCGTTACAGGAAATAGCCTACAATTTGACAATTAGGCTATGTTTTTTTGCAGTGAGGAAACAAACCGACCACCGACATTCAGGTAGGCTATGTAAACCTCCATGAGCTTTCATGAGCTTTCAGGTAGAGACAGAGAATTTTGTATTTCTGTGACACGTGCAAGTGTATAAGTAAGCGGAAAGTCACATATTTTTTGACAACAAAAAAATCACAAGAACACAAACAAGAAAGAGGTAGGCTAGAAGCCGAAAGTTACAATAGCCTAGGCGATATTACGATTTATTTTCTTTCCCACGGGAATGGCGCTTCATTCTAGTATTATTTTTTTAAATAACAATGTCAATCATTGTTCCTCATTCTTTATGTGAATGACGAACAATGGAGTTTACGAGTGTCCTTAAATGCATCACGTCACTATGGCAACCTAACGCTCATAACTCAGTAGGAAAAACTTTGAGCGTCAAATAAATAAACCATATAACTACATAAATAATACGCTGAGACTCACATGGACAAAAACAAGATGGAGAAACTTGAAGACATCGAAATGTTTTTAAAGAATGTTGACACAATAAGTAAGTAAAATACCTTTCAACCAGTTTAAATAGCCAGAAGTGTGTCAAAGCGAGCAGAATTAACGTCATCGATGGTAGCGTGCTTTACTAAGCGGACAGGTGAGAGGTAGTAGGGCTATGTTCAAATACACGTAAAGGGACTCTTTTCACGTATCTTTCTCATGTGCTGAAGTGTTTCACTATTTAGCGTTAGCTGAGAGAAAACGGCAAGCAATTCACTGTCTGAGTTACCACTTACCATTGTAACAACTATCGTATTTGCGTAAAAACATATATGCTTGTTTGTACCTGTATTTTTTTAATGCTTCAAACGTTACTGTTAAAGAAGGGTTTTAAACGTGTTGTATGTTCACACTGTATGAATTGTTACTTTCGATTTGTGCAAAGCCAAATTGAATGTTTGAGCATCTGCCAATGGGTAAAAATATAACAGTATAAGAATGCCATGTACATAACCTTGTTTTCTCCAAATGAACAAGTATCACATGTACAATTGACAACATGTGTGATTTCATTAATGATGAATGTACGAGTGAAGGCTTTAAACAGAATATGTTTGTATTTCTTTCAGATGAGCTAGTCAAGGATCTGGATTCCTCTGATGTTGAAGTCCAGCACAAAGCAATGGATAAAGCTGATAGCTTCATTGCTGCTTTGGATCAGCCCGGCTGCAGGACAAAAGTCAACAAGACTACAATTAACACGAACCCACCTCTCCAGCCTTCCTCGGTAAAGACATGCACATGAAGTCATAGTTGTACTACTTCTGCCCACTCTTCCTGTCTCAGTATTTTTTTCACTTTCGCTATGTTTTTGTTTTGTTTCTCTTCGACTGTGTTGTCTCTTTTCTCTCTTAATGTCCCTGTTCCTCCAACATGACATGCAGCACATGTATAACCAACACCCTTTTATGATCATGCCTAGTTTTACCAGACCTGTCGGGTTAGAAAGAATAAGTCAATGTATGTTGGTTTTAATGGTAAAGTTTTTTTTTTATCTTATTTTTTACATCATCTTAATAGTTCTTCTTTTTGTTTTACAGAGTGTGCACAATGAAAGTCCAGGTAAGCAAATCAAGGTTCTTCAAGCATACCTATATCTCCTAATTATACATGCCATGAAAGTTCTCTCTGAAAAATACAATAATAAATATTCTCTCCACATTTAGATTTTTCCTAAGATATACCCAGATGACAGTAAATATTTAACCAAATAAAATAGCTATGAATACTGTATGTTGATGAAGCTTTACGTTGCAAACGTTTTTTTGCAAAATTATATGCCTGCCTATAATGCTCCTATCAAAACTGCTGTTTCAGCAGCAGTTGTTTATAACATCCTTCACCATGAAGCACTCCAGCTCATGTTGCATGTCAGCCAGTCTTTGTTTTTATCAATTGACAGTCTATTATACAGTAGGTTCCTTTAACATTTATTTTCCTCATTATTATGAGGCCACACTTAAGCTAGGTGCAGACATGACATTTTCCTGAGGCGTAAGGGGATGTTTTAATCAACTGTGCTTGTTTGGCAGGTAGATGACTCACCATGCACTATACTAGAAAGAGAGGTATGAGTTGTGTCCTTGTGTAGTTTAAAAGCACATATGGCAACTTTTGTCACAAGGTTGGCTATTTTTTTGTGCTATCTGTCACTTGTCTGCTGAGACCATTCAGACACAGCGTCACTTTTTTATTTTTTGTCCAACAACTATTTTTGTCCACAAAGTTGGCAGAAGTTTAATAAGGCTGTGAAAGTTGACTCCATTACTAAGCTGTCTATGTCCTGGTGAGGAAGGCATTACTATGAATCAGAGAACAAACTTGAATTGAGATTACTGATATCTTTTTGTTGTAGTGTTTTTTATCTTATAATGTTAAGTGGAGTGGACACTTGTGGTATAAGTTCACCAAGCCTCAAAAAATTGGATAATGTCACAAAAGCCAAACTAGTTGGAGCCGGTTCGAGGTAATCATGTATTTCTGTATGGTGAGATGTAACACTGGTGATCCTTAAAGCAAGTATGACTTTTTCACAACATCTCTCTTGAGTACACATCCTTTAACTCCAGCAACCTGAAACAACTTTTCATCCAATCAACACTTCATTTCAATTCTTTCAACGGCAAAACTCATCAAAAACTGCAAAGCTGCAAATACGTGAACCTTTTACACCTCTGTGTGTGAAACTACTAATATTCAAGTTGACACATCAAACATTCAATTCACAAAATGCAGAAGAGAAGAAATGTAATGCTTGAGGCTTTGGAGACAGCAAAACATTTTTTTTATATTACCCCCACTGATATTTATTACACTGGACTCGGAGCAATACTGGTCCTGTCTTTGGTTGAACATTTGTTTTGTATTAAAATCCTGCACAGAAAGAACCCTGTGGGGTTTTTGCATTCATTAGACACGACCTTTAAAACCTAGTTTAATAAAGTTTTTTTTTTCTGAGCTTGACCTCAGTTTTGTATACTGATATTTGTTTTTTTGCTTATTTAAAACTTTGATAAGAACAACCTTTTTAAAAACGTTTGACGTGTTCTTTTGCATCAGTATTGCATGCTTAAAAATATCATAACAGGTCCTGCTTTGATTGAAGCACTTTTGCTTAAGAGTTTTCTATTTTTCAACCAGAGAATTTCATGAAGATCATGGAGAAGGATGCTGAAGAGAGGAGTGTGAGAAGGATCGAAAGAGAGAAAAAGGCAACTGGTATGTGATTCCCTGTTTCTTAAATGTCTTATTCAAAGTTAAAAACAGTTTTTTTCTTTAATTGCTGCACAGTGGGCTACCATTATGTCCATTTAAAAATGTTGTGCTGTATCTGTCGCTGTATCTGTCACTGCAGCCCTCAAAGACAGGGGGAACAAAGCTTTTGCTCTTGGAGACTATGAAACTGCTCTGAAGTATTACAGTGATGGCTTAGAGGAGCTACAGGATATGCAGCCATTGTACACCAACAGAGCACAGGTGAATATTTTTAACTTATGTTATTCACATTTAGATGTTTTATAATTAAGACACATGTTGTGTTTTTTTATAAATTCAGTGTCTTTGACTTCATCCTTCTAAACGCTAAACTGTAAAATAGAGTTAAGGATTTAAACCTCAGTGTGACTTTACATGCTTTTAAGATGATTATAAAGTCAATATGTTTCTCCACAAAGATTCTGTGGTATTTAAATAACCAAGCACTTCTACACCACTCCATTCTTTACCTTGGCTTTCTAGGTTTATTTAAATCTGTTATTTATATCCAGTTATCTTGTGTTTTATGTTTTAATCTATTCAGACCTACATGAAGCTGGGAAAGCATGAGGAGGCCGTCAGTGACTGTGAATGGGCTCTGAAGGTAAGGTCTGGATGGGAACAGAGGTTTGTCATTTCCTACATCATTTGTCACGTAGTCATCAGAGGCATTGTGAGCCTTTGACCCCAGTGGAGCTATTTTTGGTTCTACCCTGCTCCTCACTCACAGCATGAACACATACAGATACAGTACACTGGTCATGTAACATGCAGGAATGATCCCTGAAGTGAACACTGTTTAAAAACAGACAAAAAAATGAAATTATCTTTGTTCTTCCCAGTTGAGTATGTGTTTGGAGATTACTTAAAAAAAGATAACGTCTGGTTTTGGATGGCAAATATACCCGATTGAACATCTGTTCCTCCTCTGGTCTGAGCTTCCTGGAGTGTAGGTCTCTGAAATCTCTCTCTAACTGTGCTGGTGTTATCAATTCACAAACATTGAATCATAATTATGTAGATGCGCTGATGATGAAGTGCTTTAACTGATTCTCTCCCATGATAATTTTGCCTCTACCAGTGTAATGAGAAGTGCATAAAGGCTTACCTACTCATGGGGAAAGCATATCTAGCATTGAAGAATTATAATGAGGTGAGTATGATTGCCTTTCATTTCAGCTAATCACACCACATTCTTTACACATTGCTCCTGCATACAAATATCCACACTTGGTGTCTCATCAAAATATAGCAGAGACATAGCTTTATCTTGAGGGTTGTATAAGTGTGACACATTAAAGTAGTCCTAGCCTCACAAACCATTTTGTAAACTCTTAGCTGGATTCACTATCTGCGCCGTCTCAGGGTGTAATTCACAAAGCATAAAGCGCTTATGATATTTCTTGCTCCGTTCAGTTTACTTTAGGTTTGCGTCTGACTGAGGAGAAAAGCCGCCTGCACCCTTTACTCCGTGTGGCGCTGTGTCTCATGCTGACAGAGCTGTTTTGTCCACATAAAGACAATGAGGCCGGGCAGCGGTTCCCAAACATTTTCTGCCGAGCCCCCCTTGTAGATAATTTCAAGCCCCCCCACCCCTCACCATACACACCAAGACATAAACATATACACAAAGGATTTACACAAATAACACTGTAAGTCACACTCTGCCTATATTTTTAGATCTGAACATTGTCTAATAATAATCTATAATTATAATGGTAATGTCAAAGTAATATTAACACACTTTAATTACACATCATCTATTTTAAAATGAATACAGAGGCTGAATTGTTTCCCTGATTGCTGGAAAGTTTGTGTATGACATCTCTTGTGAATACTGCGGCGTAGTCACTACCTGATCTCACCAGACAGGTTTGGCTCCACTCTAACTGTGCGTGGCTGTTAGTGCCGGTGTTTGTGAATTAGACGCTTTTAGACGAAGTAGAGCAATCCTTTTATGAATAAGGCCCTCTGACTTCTGGGGATTTCAATCTATTCGTTAGTATAACACACACTGATCATTGTGGTCTTTTGGAGGCGCAAGAAACATAATAAAAATGGACCAGAAGAAAGTGATGCACATCCCATAATGAACCCAATATTACTCTCTTTCAGTCAAGAAACTGCTTTGAAAAGATAGAGGAGATAGAACCGGGGAAGAATAAAATGGCTAAAGGTAATGACTCATTTTTCTTTTGGGGTTAGAAAGCTATAAACACATATAAGTCATTTCTTAATTAGTGCCCTTATTGTTAGTGCCCAGTCATTCTATATTTTAGATCACATACATCTTGATATAATTCCATGTTATTGTTTCTTCATTTGTGACAGTGGCCCTGCCATTTAAGGCATAAATTAAACTGATCTTTAAAACTTTGTTAAACAGTTGAATTGTTTTTAGATTAGCTTCACGTTTCTTTACTTTGTGTCATTCATCCATATATACACAAATGTTGAAATTTGTGACGTAGCATTCATGGGCAACATACCTCTACTGTATCTCTACCTCCTTAACAGCTGTTGCACTAGAAGAAAGTTCTCTCATTACTGTGACGGTGACATCACTGTTACTGCTATGGAAAAATCGCTTTCTCTCTCTCTCTCTCTCTCTACAGAACTCCTGATGCAGGTCAACTTGGTAGAGGAAAAAGAGAGTCAGGAGTTAAAGGCAATGCAAGAGTTTGACAAGGGAGAGGGGAAGGAAACAACAGTGCACCAGCTGCTGGAAAAGCTGTCAAAGCCTGGCCAAATGCCCTTCTACTATTGTGGAGGACTGGACATTCTGTCACAGGCAGTCAGTGACTGTGAGTGGTCTTTTGGGAGAAACGACACACAGAATTGTCTGTATCCTCTAATCTCCTTGTTCTCACTCTTTCCTATGAAAACCTCTTTCACGTGTTCCCCTCTTGTCCGTTACAAAAGCTCAAAGACCTTTTAGTCAGGAGGAGGCCAGGGAAGTAGTACTCAAGTACTCACAAGAAGGGGGACTCTGAACAGTCCATCACTGATTCTCCTCATGCTCCTTTTGCTTGTCACACTGAACACATTTCCAATACATGCAGTAAATTTACCCTGTAAGAGCGACACTGTGTCAGGGCTACCTGATGGTCCAATGAGTGTAGGTCTATATCTCAAAACACTACATAACACTGTAAGATAACCCTTAAAGAATTGTCTGAAACTTGCTGTGCAGAGCATGTGTATTCTGCTATCAGATCCATATCGGCAAGTTTCATTCTAGCTTTCAATGCCTGGCGATGAGTGAAACCTCAAGTGACTGTACGATTTGATTTGTGATTATGATCATCTCTATTAGCAGCATAAGACAGTCCCTTGATGTATAAATGTCATTGTAATTTGGTTACTGAACTGCTGAGTGGACTTTTCTAAGCCAGCAGTGTCAGCTCTTCCATCATTCAAGTGATATTATAAAAAGTTACAGTCTCCTGAAATGAAATCACTGATATTAAGCTATTGTAATATCCTTTATTATATGTACAAGGTTGTGTAGACAATATGACTTCTAGCAGGTTTTTGGAAACACATACAGAGGGGGGTTGTTATTGGATGGTTGCAAACACTATTAAGCCCTCTGGAGCGGTCTCAAGAGCAATTTAATGAAACACCTGTGATAGCAAGTGTCCGCTCAGAAACACACCTGCACTCAATTCTGTCAGAGTATGTAGCTAGTGAATGGTGGTAGCTGGTCTTTGTGTTGTACATTTATGACAAGCCTAGCCTGAGGTCATTTTGGTTGACAGGATCCTCAGAATTATATGGCTTATATATAATTAAGAGAAAGCTCTTGTCAGGGCATTAAGAATTCCTGGACATTTCCCTGATCAGGAAAAAATAGAAAATGAAGAACTTTTCTAAGAGCATGGGTCCACACAGTTTCAATCACAAACCTGGACTATCCCTGACTGCAACATGACGGGACAAATGTATAACATTTCTGCTTCCCATTTATACTTGATGTATCTGTCTTCTATCTAGCACAATGCTTGTTGTTTAAGAGGGGTTTGAAAAGGCGGCGACCAAACACATGCTGTACTGGAAGATGCCCTCATGGCTCTAATTTAATCTCATCTAAAAAAAAAAAAAGAAAGAAAACAAAAGCATGATCTTGTGCTTGTAAAGTTGTTGGGCAAGAAATGTTCCAACCCATCCACTCATTTGATAAGGATGTCATCAGATTGAAAAAGTGACGGATATTTGTTTAGCATGTCCTCTGCTGTTAAAAAAAAGGCTCCGCTGTGCACAGAAAGCAGTTGCTCTCCCCCAGGTTATTTTAAGTTTGATCTGAAAGGCCTTTTGGATTAAACTTTAAATCACCATGACCTGGATGACTGAGAACCTTCACCGACATGACTCTCCCCCAGGTCGTTGATCCCCCTCTGACAGCTGTGGATATATTTTTAAGTTTTTTGACCGAAGGAATGACTTTGAAACTGCAGACAGATAATTTAGTAACTATTTATTTTTAGATATTGCCACAGGCAGTAACTACATCTTTTGTATATTATTCTTGTTTTACAATTCATCAAGGTTAATGGCACTCTAAGCAGTAACTATTTTTATTGCAGGTAGGACACAAGACATTCTGATATGCTCTTCCCCATTGTAACTCTCATCTAGCTATGGTGTTGCTTCAGTAGCTGTGACAACCCAAGCATGAAGGAATACTAGAGTGAAACTTTAATCAGCATAGTGCTAGCTCTTTATGCTTCTATTAACTTGTATACCTTTCTCTACAACTACATATTCTGTTACATTTCATGCCCATTGCATTATGGGAAACATTTATTTTCCATTTTCTTCATTGAGATGAATACAAGTCTACTGTCATATGATGTAAAGCCTGTCTCGCAGTGCCATTCAATGGAAAAGGGCAAAATGTACAACTCGCAGCAGGATCGCAGCAGACCTGGCATTTCAAGCGTTCTCCTCTAAAAGTACTCCCTCACTGCTCTGCTCTACTTTTTGTTTACTCAAACTCACTGTTTGTGGGACCATTCCTCACTGTACACTCCCTTACTCTCTTAACATATTCTATTTATTCTTGTCTCACTTGGCCTTGTAAACCAGTGAACAATACAAGCTAAACTAAAAGTGAGAGGTGCTGTGTTTCAAGGCCACTTGGCGGTGATATATATACTGTATACAATCTTCTGTCCTCTTACACTATCTGCTGTTTTCTTCTACCAGGTACACACCAGACCCTTTTCAGACTCAACAATGGCTTCAGTATCATCAGCAGCAATGACATGGTGAGGAGGTAAGAATACCGGAGGGAGAGGTAGCTGTCAGCTCTCTGTGTTGCACTGACAGATGGACCCAGAGACAGGGGAATACAGAGACAATGATCGTCTAAACTAGAGAGATGATCCCTCCTCCTCCCCCTCTCTCCCCCCTTCCATCTCTCACTGTTTGTTAGTGTGATAGCCCAAAGAAGAAAAGATGATCACTCTGAAGATTGAGATGAGCCCTGAAACAAGCCAAAGTCCTGTGTCCTATCCCACAAAGAGGCCTTTTTCTGTCACATACATCCTACTTTGTCCGTTGTTAGCGCTTTCATTATTCAAGTTAGAACACAGTGTCCCGAAAGTAGACAGTGCCAAGAAATTGTGGTCCAAGCATGATGGAAAGAGATGAGATATTGCTGTCAGCCAGAAACAGCCAACTGGAATAAATATGAGCCCTGTAGTAAAGAGGGCCAGTGCTTTGTTGCTTGTCCTGATCCCAGTCTTAAGGAGCATGCTGAGTTCATGCCCTCTTGGCACTGCCATAGAAGGACTCAATTATTAAATTATTTAAAAAAATAAAAAAATAAAAAAATATTGGGAGCTTTTATTTAGCTTTTTGGCACAGGACAGTGGATAGAATCGGAAACTGGTGGGAGAGAGAGAGAGAGAGAGTGGGTAAGGAGCCACAGGTCAGACCATAACCCTTTTAAGGACAACCGTCTCTGTGTATGGGTACTGCTAGGCCAACCGGGGAACCAGACCAAATTATTTATTTGAAGAGTAAAACTTGTTTTAGAGAATAGTGTTCTAGAGAATAAAGTTGAGGGCACTCCTCCTCCATATAAAATTGATCAAGGTTTAAAAAAACAGTGCATAAAAGAATAAGATGTGATACTCATTTTCAGTGGCATACTGTAACATGTTTACTTTTAAAAGTAATTATTTATTTCAATAATATTTCTGTTTGATTTGCACATTAATCAAAAAAGAGAAACACTAAGATCAGTGTCTTGTTGATTTCCACAGCTGCCTGTTACAGGAAACAAAGGGTCCAGACCACCAGGAGTTGTGTGCTTCTGTTCTGAAGTTATGGAGAGTTATTTGTTATGGAAATGGTATGTTGTGTTTGGAATTGAATAGCACTTATTTATTTTTCTCTGTGTCGAACAAGCCATGTTCCAGCACACATACTGTTTATTTCATGTTTACAGACAGGATAATTTCACAGGAGACAAAACAGGGCACTGTATACGTCGAACTCATTCATGTTCATGTTTCAGATGAAAACCAAAAGCTGTTGATGACATGCCCGGTCACCAGACAGTCCATCGTTGACTTGGTTATGTCAGAGCATGTTGCAGTCCGGCTGGAATGCTTGGCATTGCTGTATATGTTCTCAGAGAAACCACACGGCAGACGTTTGGCTATTGACAACCTAAATATTTTCTCGTAAGACACTCCTTCATTTCGTCATCAGACACACCTCATCAGAGTAATAATGAAGCATTTCACAATCCAATCTTTGTGAAATCTGTGGTCAGCCCTGAGCTATATTTTTGTAATTTTCAATCCAATTGCCATGGCCATTTAATGAGATTTCAGAAATGTTGTGTATCATTGCTCTGGGACCTAGTTTAAAAATGACACCAAGTGGCCCAGGTGACTTCAAATTATATGTAGTTCTGATTATATCTGAGCTGCAGCTAAATGGATTTTCAGAAAACTGTTCCTTTTGGCATTGTTATCTAATGTATTGATCCAAAGGTGGACACCATCATTATTTTGGTACACAACATATTCACTTATACCTTGATGACAGTCATTATTTTTGTGTTTTTCTCTCTCTCTCTCTTTTTCTTCTTCTCCTCACACTACTCTTAATCTGGATAAATAGGTTGGCGAGGAACCTCATGATGTGCATTGCAGAGCCAAAGCGGCAGGAAGAGAACACAGCAGTCAATATTCTGGAAAAGTTTGCAGTTGAAAACAAGTATTACTGATACACAGCTCACCCAAAACTCCAGACTTATTCTCCTCACATACGAGAAATGAATACTTTTATTCCTGCAAGAGGAAATAACTCATTCAGATACTGTGCAGGGTTCAGAATATGACCCACAAAGCAGTCAATTACCCTCCCATACATCATAACCATATATATTAAAAGCACTTTAAAACCCGTCTTCACGTCACGTCAGGAGGGGTCCCATGAGGAATGGAAAGTGTGACATCTTTCATAATTCAATATGTGTGATCCAAGTGTTAATGTCACTTGAAGGCAAAAGGCCATCCTCAACCTGTTTCCCTCTCTGGTGCCTCATGAAAATAGACATGAAAGAAACAACCCAGGCTGTTGAACACAGCAGGATATAAGTCAAGATGTCAAGCAGTGAAATGGAGGGATACATTTTTTCCTGTCCTGAACTCCAAGAGAGTTACTCAACAAAAACATGTTATATCCTGGAGAGGGTTCCGATTATTTGTAGAAGCTCAGCTCGGTCAATGTTGATATTATCCATATGAAATTAAAGTAATACTCATCCTGATTAATATTTTATTCCACATTTCTGCTTTTAAGACAGCAACATACATGTATGTACACCCGCACATGTGCATGTATGTACACTACACTGTCATACACGGTTCAAAGCATATTGAAGTATGGACCTCAGGCAGAAGTCAAATCAACTTGAATGTGCTGTTCTGTTTCACAGTGAATCTATCTGCCCTTTACTGCATTCAATGTGGATAAGTGAGACTTTGGAGATTTGACAATCAGTGCTTTTTCACTACTCTTTTGAATGCAACACAGATGATCAGTGAAAACCCTCAGCTCAGGATCAGATTTGGTTTAATAACTACCTACAGCCACTGTTCATATTTATGCATAAAAAAAACGAATACTTTACACACATAGTATGTCTGTATACACGTATGTAGAAATGTTTTTATGTTCTCTTACAGATTTCTCAAACAGCTCAGGAGTGTGTTAACAGACTCTGTTATCTTGCCATTTACAACAATACTGGTAAGATTTGAAGATGCAGTGACTCGTGTTGAGATACAATACTGAACTTTGCTAAATATTTGCCATACACTCGTATTCATGTGTGTTAAAACGTGTGTCTTGCTTATTTTCATATGTTTACTCCTCAGAAAAACGTCAGCCCATCGAGTCGGCATGTCCTTCCATCCCTGATATCCACTGTTGACCGTCTGGCTAGAGATGATGTCATCCATCGCAATTTTGCTCTCAATCCAGAGTGTTGGAAAGCTTTTCTGGATGCTATTGTTAGTATCCTTACAAACTGGTTCCTTTGCATAGAAAAACAAACGTTCTTTTAGTGACATTCAGAAGCACTGCGATTATGAGACGCCTTTATATAATAATAATAATAATAATAATAACAACAATAAAGTTTATTTATGAAGCACTTATCAAAACCAACGTCACAAAGTGCTTTACAGAAAAAAGAAAAAATCCCAACAGTCAAATACACAACAACAAAATCCTATTAAAAGCATGAAAAATAAAACAATAGTGCTGCAATCATCCAATTAACATAGAAAATAGAAACAACCGAGACAAAGATTGGCTAAAGTTAACAGTAAAACAAATAAAACCTCATAGATGAAACAAGGATATAGTAAAACAAAAATAAATAATAGAAATAATCTGTCAGGGATCTTACGAAGATGTTACGCTGGTTTTTAATCGTACTTTATGCTTTTGCAGAAGCAGTGCATTGTATGTGAATACAAAGAGGTGCTTTACCCTCTGCTTGGTTTGATCATCAACTTGTCCAATGTCACCTCTCCAGCCCTTCAGGTAAAGCCGCTGATGTGTGATTTTTTATTTGTGATACTAATATTGAATTTCAGTCATAAATTGATGTGCTTAAATATATTTTGTTTTTACCTCTGTTATCTATATATATATATGTCTCTGTTATCTTTATAGATATATACCTTTGTTATCTTTATAGTTGGCACTACTCATTTTGATATGATGATACTGTATCTTCTGTAAGGTAAATGTCCCTCTTACCATTGAAATCCCGAAGATTAAAAAATACTGCATTGTAAAAGAAGAGGAAAAAAGAAGCCATTGGAATGGGTCAGCAGAGGGAGGGGTATCTGTGTGAATCGGGTGTGACCTAAGCAGTCACCTAATCAGAGGTGAAATGTATGTGAAAATTGGTTTGGCCTTTTTTGTCCCCTTTCTGTAGGATCATGCTGTTTCACTCTGTGACTGCTGTCTGAGCTTGCTGCAGGATAGTGATGGAGGAGTTATAACAGTGAGTGAACAGTACTTTAGCACTGCACTACAGTACTCAGGAGGATTGATCAAAAAAAATCTAAAAGATTGAAGGCATCAAGCGTGAGGCTGCTTAGCAGTTTGACTTCATCAGAACTCTCACTTAGCTTTTTATGTTTGACCAAGGAAGTTTTGAAAAGTAGAATTACTTTTTTTTCTCCAGTTGTTGAAGATTCTTTCAGAAAATGTATTCTGGCTATTTAAAAAAAAAAAAAGTTGCATCCATGAGTCACCATTTTTTAAGCAAGGAGAAAACACTTAAGATATTTGTCTTGAATATACTGTCAGCCTTTTTAAAGGCATGTGAACTCACTGGCAATATGCCCCAAATGCTGGTTGCAATCCTCAGTATTCATTGCATCTTGTATAGGTGTCATTACATTTGATTGAAACTCCAGCTCCAGGTGCTGCTGTCTGTGTTAATGGCTGTTATAGCAATTTCACACTGCCTAAGAAAAGCCTTTAGAGTCCCTCTCCTCTGCCTACCTGTCTCTTAATTCTATTTCAATGCTTACTTTGTGCCTGGCTTGCATTTTTCTTCCTTGCCACCTGGTGTCAACATCCTGTTTTTTATTTCCTCAATGTTTTTCTCTGCTCTGATCTTGTCATGTCCTGACATTTCCCACCTTCTGTTCTTAACACATCTTAATATTAGTTTTTGGTAGCCCTTAGCCCCTTGTCAGTAGTGACCCCAATGTTCATATTATTTCTGTTCCAGTTTTTTTTCTTTCACTTTTATACATTAAGGTTGATCATTTTCTTTCTTTTTTTCCGAGCATGCACATATGAGTCGGGAGGCCCTTGCTTGACACCCTCTGGTGAAACATTTAGTAATAATATAAACATTTCTTGAAGATTTGAAAGTTTTACATATGATACTCCTTTTCAACAAGTTTAAGTAAGTCTCAGAGCTCCCCAAACATGTCTGTGAAGTTTCTTCCTGAAAAACCAGTCCAAACCTGTATTTGATCATGCCTTTGAACCCCTCTATTTCAGCCCTGCTCAGAACAGGCTGTTTCTGAGTCTGAAGCTTTAAATGCAAATGAGCTGAGTTTGACCATACCCCTCTAGAAAGACTACCCTTTGTGATGTCATGAAGGGAACATCTCCAAACGTCCTGTTGGGACCACATTTTCTGAAAAGTGGAGCAGGCAAAAGACAGAGAGGATGGACTTACTCATGAATATTTTAATTAGACAGGCCGGGGACATATATTATTGTTTGAAAAACATGGTAAAGTGTACATACTTCTTTTTGATATTCACATTTTGAACTTTAAAAAGAGCATTCATCAATTTTAGGCCACTAGGGAGCAGAAGAAAATCACATTTCCCTTTGCTGTAATATAACAGACATGTAGCAACATTATCAGCTGAGCTGCCTGCCTTACAAATTTAGGGTGGTATTTTTTTTGGCCTCCTACCTCTGTTGTCCTTAGATAAAATATTTGGGACGTTACTAACATTGTTTGTTTTATATTCTTATTATCTAGATAATTTACCTTGTTGTTGGTTTTATTCTTAAAAGACATATGTAATAATACAAGTTTATCAAAAACCCACAACCATTTTTTTACCAATTTATTCACTTGGCGATGTAATATGTACTCTTGACCTTCAAAATGTAAAGACTCTCAAATTATTGTATCCTTTAAAGACTAATTAAGTGTACTCTTCATTTTCTGAAATGGCTTCTTTTGAGAAGTCACTAAACTCTGCCCTTAATTTTCTCCATGCAATAGCTCTGTGTCCTTCAACAGATCCTGTCTGAACACAAAGCAGACACCCACTCAGTACACTTTTCTAATTCTTTTTAACACTTTGTATCTTCACTTTTTCTTTCAACTATCTTCTCTTTATCAGGGTCACCATGATGTGTTGTTCATCTAAATGTGTTTGCGGTCAACACTCTCACCCTTTTTACGATTTCTCCCATTAGAATGTTATCTTAATCCGGTGATATCCTGTCTATTTCTCTGTCTTCCCATTTGTTCATTTTCTTTGATAACTTCTTATAGTTTCCTCCTGTTGTTTTTCCTCTATTCTTCTTTGTCTTCCAGAGAGCCGCAGGTGTGCTGAGCACTGTCCTCCCTCAGTCCTCGGAGGCTGTCCTGCATGTTATTGAGGGGGGTGTGGTTCGGACCATGCGTCGGCTACTAAAGGTGCAACACTGCATGTACAGCCAAGTTTTCGTGAATACATCAGCCCTTTGTATAGATTCAGTGATTGGGGAAAACTGTTTGTACTCTTCACGTGTGACTGACTTCACCACACGTCTCTTTTTTCTTTTTGCCTGACCCTGAGTGTTTACATTACATTCTAATTCATAGTCACATGTTCTAGTCATTTCATGTAGTTATTATTTTTGTGTCTGTCTTCTCAGGGAACCGGGCAGGCTGCTACTAAGTATGCCATTAAGACTCTGACAGTGTGTACTGCTGCCAGTCAGTTGGCTCGGGAGGAGCTGTTGAAGTCTGATAAAAGTGAGAAATGATTGACATAGTGGCTACTACTTTCATCACTGCATAACAAATTGGGAGTTGACCTAATATGCAAACTAAATGTGTATGTGAGTTTGTATGAGTGCATTTCTGTTTGTTGCTATGTGTGTATGCATACTGTATACATGTGTGTGCCTGGTTCAGTTTATCTGCAAATAGATCTTTCCCTTCATATTTGCTTTTCATTTATCGTTCTACATAGAACTGTCAATTTTGCGTCGTGTGCTGGGTTCCAGCTGTGATGAGATGGTAACAGGAAACGCAGCCCTGTGCCTGGCTCATTGTCTTGAGTTGGAGGGAATTGCCAGCAATCTGCTGGGCACTGATATTGTGCCGCTACTTCTTCGCCACGCTGCAGGGGACGCTAAGAGGACAGCTGTGAGGCAAAATGCAGCTATCGCTCTTGGGAAGCTGTGTCGATCTGAGCCCAGGTGCCCTCTCACCTCACTCTACAAACCACATGCTGTTGATTACATCTACCAAACTAGCCTGAAGGAGAACTAATAGACCAGACAAAATCCCACACTGACATTAGGGTAGATACAGTGATGCAACAGTATAGCTTTGGTTAGAGATGCTGGTAACACACGAGGCAAATCTATGACGTTTAGCACATGTTGACTAAAGATAATCAATTCTTTTTTAGGTTGTCCGTTCAGTATTTGCATCTCAAATATAGGACTAATGATTTATTTGGTATGAAAACCATTTCTTTATTTCTTAATGAACCCTTTATGTTTATCATATTTGTCATATTTGTCATTATATTATATTATTATATATATAAACATTATATACTTTTTTCCTTCAAACAATCTTCAATTGAACTGCTGCAGAGTGATCTTGTGCAAGTGATGATTGACTCACAGCATTAATGTGTTGCATTAGCTTTAACAATACCACGTTGTCCTAATGGTTGCACTTCGTTAACTGCTTAATCATGATGGATAGGCTCATGGCCAACATATCCTGAACCTTACTTTTTAATAAGCGGTAGAGAACAAGAAATAGTTATGCTACGGAGTGTGGCAGGGAAACTGCTTTTGACGCCATTATATTGGTCAAAGGTTTCAAGTCTTGCTTTAGATTTGGCCATTTGATTTTTTATTAGCTGTATTGTTTAGTTCAACAAAAATGTTTACATGAAAATTGCCGCGGTTTGGATACAACTCAAAACTACAGCTGACTATTCATTTCTTGGCTATCTTTTTATCTGACCACAATTTTCACAGAATATTGTTTTGTCCGTAAATGTGCCAGTTTCATTTCACAACTGACAAAAGTGCTTCTTTTGTCAAACCAAGAGTCAAATAGCCCAGATAACAACAATGTACTTTTATTTAATTGATATCAAAAAGAAATCCAGCAGTCTTATTTTTTTACTTTCTTAAAAACAAAGGGAGAACTGTTCTGGATTTGCATTTGTTTATTTAGTCTGAACATGTACACAATAATTTCCACACTTCAAGGTAAGAAAACTAAATAAGTGATGATCACATGCTTGACTGAACAATGAATTTGTTGGCAATTTTCTGAATACTGAAGCCCCTCTGGTTATGAGAGAGTGATTGTTGTGTGGAATCATCCTTAATGATAGAAGATGGCAGCAACAAACAAATGTCTTTGTTCGTAGGAACACGTTTGCTTTGCCTGACGGCCACACAGAGCTCTGCTGTGAACGTGCTGATCTTTAGTTTCCAAGCTAACACATTCTCACAAGTCTAGTTTCATCTGAAGGACAACCAACTCATGACTGACACTTTCCTTACTGTACTGTTTTTTATCAATTGCAGACATATAAACAAACTCCGAGAACTTCATGGCCTTGAGATCTTGCACTCCTGTATGAAGCTCATCACTTGAACACACCTTATGTTGTATCACCTCCTTTCTTGTCATCACTTTTGTTCTCTTCGTTATTCTTTTTTAAGCTTGACAGCTGAGGTACCACATTTCATTTGATATACAATTGAATGTCTAACTAACTAAATAAAAAACTAAAATAAATGTTTTCTTTTTTTGTCTCTTTTCTATTTTTCTTTTTCTTTTTCTTTTACATGTCAGAAATAAACTGAACTACAATGTTCATCGTTTTTTTTAAAATGAGAAAAGCAAAAGACATATTGACAATAATAATAAAGATTTGTCTTCTAATTCCTTAAACTAAATCAAGATGGTCGCAAATATGAGGAAAGATCTACTCAGGCCTTATTTTTTCATACCTATGGTGATTTTATTTGTCATTCACCATGAATACATCAGGGTATAGGTGAAAATAGAACATGTCTTTCTCTCTAAATTTCATTTATTTTATTGGATCAAATATCAACAATGTTAATTTAAATGTAAGACAGAAAGCGCTGCTTTAACTACTCACCTACAGACACTAACTCACTGATGACTTAAGAGTAGCTGACATGTATCAGGCAGCCTTCACATTTTGACTGTATACATTAACAAAGGAAAAAGAGCACTACAGCCTATTCATACTGTAGAGCTACATTCATTGTGGAACGTTCCTTTCTGTGTGATAACAGCTCTCACCACTACACTACAGTGCTGCTCTCACTACACCACTGCAAGAAGGTCAGAGCTATAACTCTTCTGGTTAAATGTTTGTACACTGAGAGCACTCTTGTAGAGCTGTATTACTGGCAAAGCCAAGTAAAGTAGCCTCTGGCTGCACTATATGTTGAAATAGCTTAATAGTCTGGAAGATGTTGTTTCAGGCAGGTGAGAATGTATTTGTGGATGCAGGTCTGCACAAACCTCTAACTGGTTGGCCATGGGGTAAGGACTGGCATAAGCTAAACTTTAACCTTTATGCCACAGTGTTGTACAGAGAGTCAATTCTCTGTTGTTACCACATATTTCTGTCAGTTTCATGAATATACTGACATCTGTGGTCAGTGTCAATCAAAGGGTTGTTGACATAATTTAACTGGGAATGTTTTTAGTGTTAGCCAGGTCGTTTGTGCTGATAAAAGTGGATTGTCTAACTCAAGCATACTTTTCAATTTCTGTGGTACTTCAATGTGCAAATCAGAACTTTTATCACATCTGCTAGGTGATAATTGTTAATGGAGACATCCCACTCTTTTAATTTGTTTTACTCCTGGTTGTCTACCAGCCCACCACTATAGGCCTAATGGAAATATCTCACACAGAAATGAAAGACGGTAACCCCCTTCTTACTGGTTTTAAGAGATGACATCACATCAGTCCTATCCTTGCGTCCCTCACCTCCCTATCTGTTTTAGAATTGATTTGAAGGCGTTTTTACTGATCACTTCTAAAGCTTGTCTGGGACTAGCCCTGAATTACATTCAGGAATGCTGATCCCTTTTGAGCCATCTATAGCAACCTCAGATCCTCATGACAGGCCCTCTGGTCATTCCAAAGTCGAGACTCAAATCAAAAGGAGAGATCGTGCTCCTGCCATGAGGGCCCCTCAACACTGAACGAGCTGCCTGAGGAGATAAAGTGGCAGATTGAGTCACGTCTTTTAAAACACTTCTTCAAACTCACGCTTACAGATTGGCTTTAATATGATGTCACGTTTTTTAAATGCTTTTTTCTTTTCTCTTTTCTCTTTCTGCTCTAAATCTAGTTATATTCCTGTCTACGATTTGCCCTTCATATTGTTCTTTGTTTGCCTTCCTTGCTTTTATTTACTTACCTTGTATGTATTCATCTTTTTCTGTCTTTATTTCCTGTGATGTCATGTCGTCCTCTTCTTATAATATTTTCATAATATATCTTTATATAATCTTTGTGTATTTCTTCTATTGGTTTACTTTCTTACTTGAACCCCCTTTCGCATCCTGCCTGGTGTATCTATATTGTTCCTTCATTTGGATTTCCTCCTGTTGATCTTTTGAGTTTGCATTTTGTTCTTTGTTTCCTTTTTGTTTGAATTTTAACTACGGTTTCTTGACATTGAAGTTCCTCTAAGGGTAAACCCAACTCATATGTTCCTTTGACTTTGACCTTAAGCTCAGCAATGAGGCTGATTTTTTTTTTAGGTTTTGAGCAAAATATCTTTGCAAATATTGAATAGATAACCTTTACATTTGGAACAAACATACACACCCCTATAGAATGAGTATAATATATTTACGAATCTTCATGTGTAAATGTGTGTATAACCTAATACTGCTCATCTTATTTGTTGCTTATTAGCAACTGAAAATATGCTAACATGCTAAATAAAGATGGCTAACATTCAGCTACACTTGCCAAACATTTGCATTTAAGCATTTCCATGAGAGCAGGTTTATCATAGCGTTATTAGTGTTTTGTGCAGACCTTAACCTATATCATGATTTAGGTGTCATAGCTCTAAGCATGCAGGTACACATAAAGAGGCTGGGTATATTGTGCAGTTTATGGTATAGATATTACATACATTATTAATTATTGTTTTGCATAAATATGATTATGAGTCAGACCTAATTTTTTAAAATGTATTTTTCTTTACACATTTTGTACCTTCTGCAGCATTTCACCTGCAGTGAAGCTAAAGTCAACAGTTACTGAGGAACCTAATCCACATATATATGACCTGCAGAGGACAGAAACCCGAGGTATTTTCATGATTTATTTTATTTATTCAACACATGCAATGAAAGTGGCTTCATATGTAAAATACAAAGTAGATGCTATGCTTATAGATTTATAGCCGTGGCTAACTTGCAACCCCTGCCCCTGGCTGTAAGTTTTAGAATAACACACAAGCATTAGACTAGATACAGACTTTATTATGTAATACAAATAAGAAACTAAGAACAATCAGTACATTAAGGATTATAAAGGGAAACAGAAACAGTCAATGCTCACAGACTTGCTTCATGACACCATCTGTGCAGGTCTGCAAACATCTGCTCAGATGGATTAAACAGAAATAACATTCAGTGGAGCTCAAGTTATTGACCAACGAAGACTGAATAGAAATGAGGAGGCTTTACTGTTTCATATTAGCATGTTTACAGGTATGTACAGAGTTGATTTTTCATATGTGCAGTAGAATGCTTCATCTCATCATGTGCCAGCTCATTTAAACAACTGCTAATACAAATTTAATTAAATAGTACAATCAGTTTAAGTTTTAGATATAAAGTCTTGATTATACATGTTACAAATAGTTTTATCCTCAGCGGTACAACTTCAACATTTTCCTTAATTTTCTTTAAAAAATAAATAAATTTAACATTTAAATGTGAAGCATAAGAAGAGAAGAAAAACGTTTTTTTTTTTTTACTATTTGACTTTAAATTTAAACTAAAATTATGGGGGAGCAAATAAGATAAATTGTATATATGCTAATTTACAATTTATTAAAAATTTAAAATCAACCATTTTATATTAATTTACTTACTCAAACATCTCAGGTACATCACTAAGTGTGCCTCCAATTGCTCAGGCTTATGCAATATCTTATCACCATATAATGTGAGCTCATTACTCTGACAGTGTTTTTATAATGAAGTTCTTATGTCTATGTGTATTACTTTCCTATGCATCTGTCTTATGAAATAAATGTGCAAAGGGGGGTCCATGCCACCCCTGGCCACCCCTCTGGACACTCCACTGCTGGTGGCTAAGACTCACTGGAACACATCAGAGGCGAGGCATACATCCAAAATAAACCTGGCCTGTTAATTATGTTGCTGTAGCAGCCATTTGCAGAAAGAAGTAGGCTAATATCATGTGACTGATGTCATATTCTAGTTAAATAGATGTTTCCTTGTGGTACTGATGACGTGTGGACTCACTGATTAAACATAAGGCTTTAGATCAAGCGGCCAATTACTAGTGTTAATGGGCAAAACCTGCTGTTCAGCTGTAAGCCATAAAGGAGGTGGAGAGGAAGTAATAAGGCTCTTTGAGAATTCAAACATTGTTAACTATGAGTTGCCACTTAAATATTTTCGGGTAGTTTCACTTTCCAAACTGAAGCAAAAAGTACCCTGACTTTGTCTTTGTGTCTGATTAGCCTTATGGAAGACATAAGGAGGGTAGGCCTTATTCCTTCCTGCAAGAGCCACACATATCTGTTTGTTTTTTTGTAAACGCTTTTGACATATTGATGGCTGTAGGGATATGGCAGATTTCAACAAAATGCTTCTCAAATAAGTTGCCAATCCCAGCTTTTGTTATTACAGAAAGACTCTTGTGCTGACAGAGGGGAAGGAAGCCAGTTGGAATGGAAATTAGACCTGAAGTCCCTTGTTCAGACATAAATTTGCACCAAGCTGCAGACAAAATGTTGATTCTTGGAATGCATAATATTGTAAGTTTTAAAGAAACCTAATGACCTGTATTGCTATCTTTTACTTCATTCTAAAAAAATGTGCAACCAGCAGACTGTTATGTCAAGTCTGTAGCTGTAATGCTGGATGTGGTAGCAGGCATCTAAAAATAGTACTGCCTAATTGGCACCATCCTAATTTATCACTATTTCCTCCTTGAGAATACCCAGAGTGAGGTCTAGACTTCATCTATTAGTCATCAAAATATTGATCCAAATAAACCATATCGCCTCGAAATTAGCTTGCTATACAGATGTTATTTTTTAAAATAAAGACGTGACAATAGCTATATATTAATAAACATCCATCATCTATATTATTGATTCTCAGTTGGATCCTCCATTAGCACTAACAAATAATTTTAATGGTGCGTTCCATTTATCTTGTTAGCTAATACCTGACGATAACAACACACTTAGTGATGGCTGATTCACAAAACAAACATGACAACATATCAACAGATAGAACTTACACTATCGGTTTGATTGATTACATTTTTACATTACATTACATTGATTTTGATACACAAAAAGAGGACTACCTTGCTATTAAACACAATAGTTACAGCTTAAACATATGCACGGAGCAGACATGTTGTATTTTAGTCAGGCTACTAAAGGTTCTCCCAGTTTCCAAGTTGGAATTCCGACTTCAGGGGGGGCATTCCTGACGACGCATCAGACCGGCAACTCAGAA